CATACGTCACTGACCACATTACATATTACTGCTATCTCTAATTGTACCTAAAGCGCATTAAATATGTAGTCATCTGTAAAAATTGAAATATAATTCTTTTAAATGGTTCAAAGAATCCTATTTATATTTTCCCAGAACTTTTTTACTAGACAAAGTAATAGTTTAAAGGCAGTGGCTATTTTGCCGGCGCCGCCAAAATTGAAAATATTCTATTTTGCCAACTCTTGGTAAGCGGAAGCCAGCATGTCAGTAAAAAAAATTTGATTACAGATATGCAATTCAAAACTGACTATTATTTCAAAACTAAATTTAATTGAAACATTTTTTTATTTTGAAGCTATGTGATTGATTTTTTTAGACTGTATAGCGTTTTTATCAAATCGATATGCTATGAGATTTTGTCTTTCATTTTTTTTACAGCATAGTTCAAAAATTTGAGATTTTATTCTTATGCATACATGTAGCATTAGACTGATTTTAGAAGTAATTTCAACTACATGTTTTGATATGATTTCATTGCTACAAATGGATGCTCAATAGTTTTTATTTTAATTCCTTTTTACAAATCCTTATATTCACTTGGACTCATAAATATTTTAAACGACTATATGTATCTTAAATATTGTGACATTTATAATATTCAACTATATGATGAATAATAATTTGATTCTTTTATGTTGACAATGCACATTTTCGTAGTCTTTTTCACAAGTAAATATTAAAATTCAGTCTCTACAAAGAACCGGCAAAATAACAAATTCACTATACTGCCGGCGCTATTTTGCTTGTTTTAATTAAGATATTTTAAACAAAGACGACAAAATAGCATATTTTCTATTTTGCAGGCGGCGGCAAAATAGCCACTGCCTATTTTAAAAACCTCAAAAATTTGACAGAATACTCATTCGCAGTTGTCCATTGTGGACGATTTCATTTAGCGATTTAGCTATATTCAATTAAATCTATCCGACTTTTGCATGTTTCTATCAATTACGTTTTAAAAAAACGAATACTTTTATTATTTTATGATTCGTGTTCTCGTTAAAGGGGCATTAGATACGAGATATAGAAAAAAAAAAGATTTCTTTTTTGTTCAATCATTAATGAAAGTGAAATAGTGAAATAATAATTCGCTTTTAACAGCCAGTTTGGTTGAGTTTTGTCAAAATAAGCAAAGAAATATCGCTAATGAGTTATTCACTTGCAAGTGGATAATTCGACCTCATTAAATCTGTATTCATGTGAAGTTCAATTTAACCCCTTAGCTAGAGATGGGTTACGCATGAACTAGGCGTGTTCAGGTATTAAAAGATAAAGAATGTCAACAATGGAAGTGAAACAAGTGTAAACCATTTGGTTGACTGATTCGATATACAAAAACTCATTCTTATACACTTCAGGTAAAAACGATTATTAACATATTGATTTAACCTATAATATCAAATCAAACAGACCTAGAAAAATCCAATTGCACGAGTTTGCTATCTATTTATATATTTGTTTATGTTTATATCGGGTAAGATGACCGTCGGCAGTCTTCAGAAGGTCGCATCGATGGTTGATTAGATGGCGTCTAGACTAAAATACACACGAAATGCTGATACATACTATCGAGTCTATGCATCATAAATTGTTTATTTTATTTTTTTTTTAATTTGGATATACGTTGTAGTATGTTATAAGTCGAATATGAGAATTTGAGTCAAATCGGTAAACATGAATTTGACAGCTAATGTCCCTTTAAGTTTTAAACTGAAATTTTTTTTTAAGGTTTTCACAATTGTCGATTTATTCTTAATTAGCTTTTATCTAGTAATCGTAACTAGTCTTGCTTGTGGTTAAAGTGTTCCGGTATTCTGCATACAACTATCATTCTTATCTCGAAAAAAGCTTGAGTGTACTTTGTTATTATTTTTATTATCATTTGGTCAAATCAAACAGATTCATGCCTCAATCCGTATGAAAAAAAGAAGATATTATTGCAAAGAAGACAACTTTCAACCAGATACTGAGTGACGTGCATGGATTCATTTTAAAACTAATAGAAATCCATGAATATCAGTTTTTTTATTTGGCGTTGATTGTAACGCTATAAGTGTATGTAAGCTGCGTCCATTCAAGTAATGTATTATCTATAACTATAATTAACATACAAGATCAATTATTTTCGTCTATATATAATAAGAGATGTGGTATGATTGCCAATGAGACAACTCTCCACAATGTTTGCTTTCTTTAAAGTGAAATGAAATGTGAACTATTTCTCATGGATATGTTATATTAACCTGTGAAAATGTTTTTAGAGTTTTCAAAAAGTTTGCTTAGTTGCAAAAAGTACGATATAAACATATAGGTTTCAAAAAGACGAGCAAGAGGAATACTGCAATAAACGTCAATGTGACAGCTACCTAACAATGATGAAATTAGTATTATATTCTTCAACTACACTCTGCTCACTGTCACTTTCGTCCATGGCATGTGAGATAAATGCTGCATCTTTAAGAGAAGCTACTCAATTCTGGACTCCATGTGTGATGTCCAGATAATGTCTTGTATAACCTAGATACCAGAGTCTATAGGCAATGTGCGCAAATTAACATGTTTTCGTCCGGAATATGCATCTTACTTGCCACTGGACATTAAACAGTCATCCATCATCATGAGACAAACAACTCGTGTAGTAAAATGTTGTGTTTCTTTGATATTCAATGTTTTTTTTTTTTCTTTTTTCCCAAAAAGTGAAATAATAGACGCGTAAATATCTTCTCTAAAGATTTTAATATCTTTAATCATTTATTTAATTATGTTTAAAGTCATTATTGTACTGTAACTTTGGAGAGATATGATTGATAGTTGTTTGACGAACGTCCAGTGGCAAATACTTCGTTGCATTTTTATGACGGAGAGCAATTTAGAGAATCTTTTTCAAACAGGAATCAAGAAATTGCATGTGTTGTCATTGAACATAAGAGAAAATTCTCCAAAAAGGGGGGGGGATAAAGAATCATAAGACCAATAAAATCATACAACACCATGAACATATAGAGGCGACAAAAAAAAACAGCAATAAAAAAATATAAAAACAGGTAACTACAGATTGAACACGAACTTCGGGCTACCACAAGAAACGACAATCAGAAATATAAATATATCTCATAGATAATTTATTCATAGTAAGCAGCCATTTTTGTTGGTCGCTTGTTACATAGTCTCACTTAAATTTAAAAGAGACCACCAAAAAGGGACCAAATAAACAATTGCTCCTTGTATGCATTCTGATCAATTATGCACGCTATCCCGCGTGCATATCAGATATTTATTTGAATGTACCCAAGCTATATGATTGTGTCGGATAGTTTTGTTTCATCTTTATTTCAGTTGTCATTGAAAACAAATATTTTTTCTGGTTGAATGTCACGGACAGTACTACACCATGCCCTCTCATGGCGTCGTAATTTTTATTTTAATTAAAGAAACAATAAAGAGCTTATTTAACCACTGTGCAATATGATATCAAAATTCTCACGTGGTTTCTTCTTATGTCCTACGATTTTCTATGTATGTTATTGTTCATAGTTCTGTTACCTATTTACACCATCCGTAGCAATTATTTAAAATGTTAACTTGGCATACCATATACATGATAGAAAATGCGGACGTGAAAGAAAGCACTTCATCAAAGCGTCAACATGAGATTACATTCCATATAGGTTACATTACGACGATTTTGTCTTTAAAAAACAAAATACGTGTATCTAAAAGGAAATTTGTAATAATTTTTATGTTGACACCCATATCGATCTGCTGGATGTAGAATTTTACGGAAAAAAACTACGGCTCTATTTTGAAACTGTCATAATTTTGTTTGCATAGCACAGATCGGGCGACCGGGCTAACTATTACAAAATAACGTGGAAATGAACTTTAAAATAATTTGCAAATTATTAATTTTTATTTCCAAAAAATTGTCTTGTTTTCTAATAAAAAAACAGTAATTAGGGCGTATCTATCCGTGTTTAAAAACCTCGCCGGATCGGCGGTTAACGATGCTTCGCTAAAAACAAATTTAAAGACTTGTTTTTCCATTTTCTTCTTTTTTGTTTGTCATAAATAAGAAATTAATAAATCATAGAAATTATTCTATTTAAAGCAATTGTACAAGTTCTTGGTACAGTTATTTCGTCACAGAATCTATCGTACCTCGGAAATGGCGGCGTTGAATCAGGATTTGCTTCTTAGCAAAAGTTAAATTTTCGATGTGGCCACAGGCCTGGACCACGCTAAATATTGTTGCAAACTGAGTCAAAGTGTCAAACAATCAAAATAAGAGTAAAATTACTTTGGTCGAGGCCTGTGGCCAATGCGAAATTTAACCAGGAAGTGTGAAATTCTTTAAGAATTTGGACATTTTGAGCGTTCCGGTTTGATTTCGGGTATTACGTCACATTAATGACGTCACAAAAATATGATTTTATACTATGATAACAAATAACGATATACGTAGATATGTTTTAGCTATAAAGGATCCACCTTATTTCTCTTTCATTTTTTGTCACCCCACAGGGCCAATATCGGCACTTCGTGGCCATACTCCTTTACCTGTTGAGAAGTCACTACATTTATGCAGATCAATTAGAAAATATTATAAAAAGAAATCCTTGACTTTTTATACACAAATAACTTTTAACAGTACTTATTCTTAAATGAACCTAATAAAATAAAACATGTAACATAAACCTAAAAGTGAGGGGTGGTAGGAGGTGGTGTCATCCTGAATGTTTCTGAAAAAATATCATATTCTTTACTGGATCCCGTAAAATTAATCATTAATTCCTGAGTCCAGGTAGGTGTAAATCCCAAATTCCAGCAAAAATAAAATCAAAATCCCAAATTACTGCAAAAATAAAGGCCCAATCCTGACATCCCAAAAAAGGTCTTTCCTCCCCTCTAAAGTTGTTGATACCATAAAGGTAAACATGTAACAAGATGTAAAAGATTACCCCTGGTAAACCAAAGCTAGTTTCGTCTCCATCATCACCCTTTTTCACTGCAATGAATTCCATAACTTTCTTTCCTTCAACATACAAAAATCCTGGTGGTTGGCCATCTGCACTGTCTGCTCGTCTCCATCTTGTACAAACAGCTAAAATTTGATGATTCGGTCCCCATTGCCACAGTGCACCTCTACCTATAAGGCCAGTTCTACCCATTGGATTTCTGTGAAAAAAACAGGATTTTCAAACTTATAGAAAATATGCCTCTTTTGACTGTTACATTTTTGTCTTTTGCATAAAAAATAAGTCATGATTAAATGCAGAGTCATGTGTAATAAGACATATTAATTGCAAGTTACATAGAAGTTCTCTATAAAGAATAGGAAATAATAAATATATTGAAATGTATAATTTAGACTTATAAATATCAACCAGTACATACAAAGGTCTAATTCAAAATTCAGTGGCAATACTAAGAAAACATCAGTTTTCATTTGGAGTGGCCAATCTTTCCTATAGCTAGTTCCAAGGACACTTTTGGACAGGTCATAGGGAAAAATGAAGGTAAACTACTATCATTTAAACCTGAATGCAAGATTTTCTTGCCTTTTAGAAGATAAGATATCTGTGAAGAAATTATTATCTAGGAATAGGAAAAAAGGTCTTCAAAAGTATGCACGATCAATAAAGAGGCATGAATTAAAGCAGATAAGGTAAATAAGTATTAAATGGTCTACATACATATACAGTATCTTAAATAGCCCCCAAAAAGAGGGGTTCAGATCCCCTCTGCACTTTCAGGGCACCCCTTTGCCCTTAAAGTCCTGCCATTTGGCTTTCTATTTTCCTGAAGGAATATATATCTTGGCAATGCAAAAAAAAATATTTTTACTACTAGGAATCACCTTTTACAAGTCAAAAATACTAAAATTCAGCAAAAATACATTAATTTATCCAATTATTTCAATTGTGTCCCTTATTTTAGACAAGAAACCCCTCTGCCTTTCAATTCCAGCTAGAAAACTGTCTACATTTTAATATACATATATTACTTACAGAGGAAGACCAAGTGGATCAATTTTATATCTACACATTTCATTATCCAACATTATCCATGACCTCCTATCAAACATTCTCTTTCCTTTGACTCCTTGAACTTTCTTTGTCACTACTTTGTTCCATACCATATTGATAATTGGCAAACAAGGTAATACAGCTATTTCTTCTTCTGTTAAGAGTTCTCTTTCTTGTTGTTGCAATGTAATGCTTTAAACAAATACAAAGTGTCCCACAATAATTTTAATTATATGAATGATATGATGTAAGTTTTAACAAAGAAACTAGTAAAAATCAAAAATCAAAATCAAGAGACACTGCTCAGACCAAACTAGACATCTCGAAACATTTTCATGACTTTAAAAACACAAATATCCATAACTTAAAGCAGTATATTATGAATGACTAAAATTTTTTTAACAATAATTAATATGAACATCTATTTTTTTTATTTTTTACAAAACTGGTTTGTAATATTATTAATACATAAAAAATATTGATTCAATTTCTTTCTTTTTTTTTTTAATATAAAATAAACTGTAAAATTATTATACATACAATAAAATGTCTTCATCCACATAAACCCTCTCTTCATCAGGAAAGGCATCTATTGGTTTAGTATATGTTTTTGGGTCATACACTAAACATGTTTTCTGTGAAATATAGATATATTTTGTTTTAAAGCATGGTATATCAAATCTGATGTAAAACATAATGTTTTGTTATATCAATTATGTCCATGGAAAGTATACACATTTTTTATTTTTAACAGAAATAGTTTTTATTTGTTACATTTGTCAAAATAAACTATCTTATTTCCCATTCATAATTTTTTCACTTGCCAATGACATCATGAAATTTTTTGTTTACTATTAATTTTCTAACTGTTCCTGAGAAACTATCAATCTTATACCTATTCTCCTGTGATGCATTATAAAGGTCATACTCCAAAAGTGGATTCTCCAATTTTTCTGAAAATTTCACAGTAGATGAATGATTTCTAGCCCATCAGTTTTCCCCTCTTACTGAATTTTTGAAAAATTAAGACAAAAAACTCCTTTTCTACCTTCATTCTATTTTTCTCTTTATTTTTCTTTTTCTCTTTATTTTTAAGAGCTGAATTATATGGATTTCGAAATTAGTACCAAAACAAAAATGTAAAATTCCTTTAATTGACCCTAAATTAACATCCAGATATTAAAATTACCAAGAAACCAGAAAGAGAGTCGAAAGAAATCAAGAGGGCATTCAAACTCATAAGTTGAAAAATAAACTGACAATGCCATGGCAAAAAGAGAAAAAATGACCAAAAGACAAATAAAAGAGAGGCGAAAGATACCAAAAGGACATTCAAACTCATAAGTCTAAAAATAAACTGACAACGCCATGGCTAATAAAGAAAAAGACCAACAGACACACAACAGTACACAAAACATAACACAGAAAACTAAAGACTGAGCAACACGAACCCCAGCAAAAACGGGGGTGATCTCAAGTACTCCGGAAGGGTTAGCAGATCCTGCTCCACATGTGGCACCCGTCGTGTTTCTCATGTTAGTACAAAGTCGGTAATAAGTCTAATTTGGTAGGTCACATTCGGGGAAAAGGGGATGGGATTGTAGTTACAACATTTGGAACATATCCGCTATCATCTGTGAAACAGATATTCCATAACAGTCAACCAACTCGTGATGGCGTCCGTAAAATTTACGAAGGGAAGATTTCAATTTCACCACTAGGAATTCTTGGTTTAATAGCTTCCTTGTGAGCAGCAACCCTCTATCAAGGAAATCATGATAGGAAAATACAAGCCCTGGAATATCGTATCAACAGGGATATATATACTCTGTATGCAGGCGCTGCTGAAATGTTGCTACAGAGAAATGGAAATTTCACAATTGGGAAGCTTAAATCATCTCTTTTGTTGTAAAGTTTTGTTTTCAACTGACCCTCATTGTAAAGGAGTAGGTTCGGTAAGGGCCGATTTTGGCTTCAAAATTCAGGTTCATCTGATGAAAGATTTTGGACACTTTTTAAACACTTAAGTGTCTACTTCAGTCGATTCAATTAGTTTATGTGAAGGATTTGAACTGATTTAGTCAATAAAGACGCTCAAATTCAAGCTTAAATATGAAAAATCTATCAAATATGCCATAATCTGATGGTTTTTGTCAAAAATGAAAGTGGCCGCATCCGTGTTCATTCTCAACCTTTATATATGTTATGTATTATCATCAAATACAACTTACATTTAAATATTAAGAATGAACACAAATGCGGCCACTTCCATTTCAGACGGAAACCGTCTAAAAATTAATCAAAATGCTAAAATTTCGAAGATTTCAGTAATTAAGCATGACTTAATGATGCTAGTACCCGATACATGTCCATTGTATTGTCAAAAACAACCTGTATTTATGTAACAGAAGTATTCTTCTTTCAAATAAATAGCTAAACATTTACATTTTAACAATTTTGTAAAACTGCTATATTTTGGGGCCAAAAAGGGGTCTTACTGGGCCTACTCCTGTCTAGATGTAAGTTAAGATATGAAGCATACAAAACACAACATAGAAAACTAAAGACTGAGCAACATGAACCTCACCAAAAACAAGTGTGATCTCATGCGCAAAGAGCATTTCATAGCTTACAAGTTCTAATTGGTTCAGGTAATCCAAGGGCATGTTACCGCTTACATGTACTATATGTTCATTGATGAAAGCAAAATGGTGACCTGTAATGTTCAGTTCTTTGTCTTTAGGTCTTTAATGGATATTTGTCCATTGGAAATCATACTACTTCTCCTTATTTTTATACTGATATGTTCCTTCTGATGTTACAGATATTCTAAAATGCTATAAGACCCAAAAAACTGAATCCCAAAACTGTTTTGGGAAGGAATAAAAATTGGGCTTTAAATGATTTCAAGAAGTCCCCCTTTTATATCCAAGTGCAGATTTATTAACAACTTACCTCCCATGCGACATCCTTATCTAGCACCTGGAACCTGGTTAAACTGGTACCTGGGTATGGTGAAAGTCTAGCTGCCACATGAACCAGTGCACCTTTATTTGTGGATACTCCTAATACATCATTCTTGTCAAGTTTATGAGAGATACTCTCCAAGTACATTCTACTGGAGTGTAATGTTCTATCTAACTCCATGATTCTGTCTGTCATTTGCCTCATTGTTTTCTTCTGAAACCTCATGTCATCTTGCAAATTTTGTAATCTTAAATTGAAAGAGTTTACTAATCTTTTATCATGTGAACATTTTACTTTTGACATATGGATATTTTACCATTGGGTGTACATGAGAAGAAAATATGCAGATGTTTTTTATCCAATGATCTTTTTTTAAATCTTTCCGATTTTTTTTGATTTTTTAGAGGTGGCAGTATATTGTGTGACTTTGTACACAAATATCATTTTTATCATTTGTGTGTTTTCCATTTACATTATGTATTCATCAAAATGCAATATTGGGTTAATTTGTAAGGAAATAAGAAATCTTTGTTGTAGTATAAATAAGGCTGTTGAATTGACTCACAATTGGACATCCAAGACATTTATAGCTTATATCTACAATATGGTTCAGGTGTAGCACATTGTTGAAGGAAAAATGGTGACCTGTACATGTTCAGTGTCCCAAGTCTTAAATGGATAATGGTCTCATTGGAAATCATACAACTTCTTACTTTTAACACTGATATTGATTAAAGTTGAATGGGACAAAATTGATAACATCGTTTTGCATAATAATTTTACAAAACAGCTTACATTTGAGCCTGCATCTTTTGGATAGACTCCACTTCAGTCTGTTCTTCCTGTACACTAACATATTCATGTGAACATTTCTTCCAGTAGTTGTAATCCTCTGATCTTTTTAACTTCTGAACTGTATGACTCAAGTTTCTTGTTTTCTTCTGTTGAAGACAAAGGTAAAATATTCAGCATTTAAAAGTAATCTATATAATTAGACAGTGAATGACATCCATTGTCAGTTGTGTATAATATACAGATTTTTACCCAGAGAAAGATTTCAGAAAAGGGGTGTGTATCATGCATAGAAAAACAAAGGATATAGGGTATCCATCCATGACACAAAATCAGTACATGCACAGCAAAAAAACAAAAAACAAAAGAACAAAAAGCAAAGAAACAGTGCTCTTTATTGCCTAAATTGTATTATAAGTCTATTTTCAGGTAAGAAATCAAACCAAAATAAACCCAGGTGAAGTCAGAAGGAAAATATTTTCATAGAATGTTTTATATGTTATTTTTTCAATTTGTACCTTCTAATGTATCTGACAATGTCATTTACTATGCAAATAAGATACATCAAAATGCTTCAGTCGTTTTGTTTTTTTGTATTTTCTAGTGCAAATAAGTCCTGCTCTTTGTTACTAAGTGCTGAAGTTACATTTTGGTCATATCCGAATAAGAGAGGAGAAGGTTTTTGTCAATTGCTTATTCATTGCATATCAAATATACTATAAGCACCACAAAAATTATCTAAAATCAATTCACTTTAAGTAGTTCCAATATTTACCTGGACAGAACAGGTACAAAAGTTGATGCAATTCTGTCTGCAAGATGATAGTCTTCTGTGTATGCATCGAATGAGTATGTAGATGTAGTTAATGACTGTTAAAGGAGCTGGGAAACACAGTCTTTCCTCAAAGTCCATGATTAACAAATAACGCTGGAACTTCCAGATAGCTGCTGCTTCTTTGTCTACTTTCCCAATAGTTAATCTGTCAAAGACAAGAACAATTCTTTTACTGATGAAGGAAATGTGTACTGAAATAAATATACAATATGTGACAGTACGATGTAAACAAAAAGGGCTTGTTATGAAAGATTCAAATATGTAAAAAATATGTACTGCTGACTTATTATACCTATGTTTTTGACTTTATTTTACAGTTTAAGATACAATTTTTTCACAAAAATTAGAATATCAGAGTAACAGAAAATATGTAGTACAGTATGGCATAATCAGATGAAGGTTGGTCCCATGCATCAAGGACCTATGACTTGTAGTAGTTGAGGAAAATGTGACAAAATTGTGTTACAGACAGAGGTAGAACAATATACTGTAGATTCGTGGAATATCAATTTTCGTGGAATTCATGTGTATAGGTAAACCTTGAATTTAAATATTCCACAAAATTCAAATTGTGTATAGGCTTGTATGGAGAATTTGGCAAAACCAGGAAATGTAATATCCACGAAGATAAATGAATCCAAAGTACCCCTGTTTGGATCAGAGGTATAAATCATTTTGAAACTGAATACTTAATTAAACCTCAATTGAAAAATACAATTTTTCTACATTACCAGTTTACAGGGAAATTCACCTATTCACAATTGGGGTTCTACAAATCTAGATACTTTTGAAACAGAGACCATCTGATCTTTTATTTCCCCTTTTTTTCTTTGAAATACATTTTATTGTGGAAATAAAGAAATGGGTGGCGATATCACAGATGGTACTTCCCTTTACCTTTAATCTTGAAATTAAATTTTCTATAACTTTCTAGTACAATCTGATTAAAATACAGGTCCTGTGTCCAAGCTTTGCTCACAAGGATCTGAAAACACTCTGTTCTGCTATCTGTTTTAAAAGAACTTTCTAGATTCTCTGGGATGTCAGATTAACACACGCCTTCAAAAATTTGAAAGCTGAAATTTCATTTATTACCAGAACAGAAAGTAAAACAGAGTGTTGTTAGATCCTTGTAATAAAAACTTAGACAAAAGATCTGCATTTTAATCAGATTGTTTCTAGCAGTGATGAGCACTAATACAAAGCATCACTAATTACCTACAAGGAGTAGTGATGATATACATTGTAAGAGCGGACACAATTTGTTGGATGAATATGTCTAGGAAGGGCAACTATGTAACTAATTTATGACATAAAAGATACATTTAATAAAATATGTAAGCAGGATAAAAGACAAATATACCAATAATCAAAACGTTCTATAAAGTCCTTTTTTGATTTTTTTTTTTTTTTTTAACTTTACTTACGAAAACATGGCAAAGAGTAAAGTGACCAGCACCAATTTACAGATAAGAAGATATTGTATGGTAATGACATAACCACTCAGACTGGACATTGGACACTTCTGAAGATTGGCAACATCTGGCTCTTAAAAACAAAACACAGAAAATTTATTAAATGAAGGCAAACTGAACAATTATTTGTGTCCAATGCTTAATAAATTGCTTTGCCGAGCGTACCTGGATACGACCACAGAGGTCCAACCCTGAACAGTTGGGGCAAAAATGGATGCAATATTTGCGCTTGATACAGGTCTGAATTTGAATTGTAATTAAATATTTGACACATTAAAGGTTTCTGACGCCGAATAGCTGTAGTCAAAGAACTTAGAATTGGTTATATGATTTGAATTTATATTCAATTTTTTGCTTTTGTGCAATACACTATGCTGTTGCGTATTAATCCCCCCCCCCCCCCCCCCCCCCCCACACACACACACACTTTTTTTTTGCAAAAAAAATAAATATTTGAAGAATTTTTCTTTTTAATTTCTGATATCTGAAATGAGAAAAAATTGACCCCCCCCCCCCCCCCCCACAATTTCTTTTTACCCCCTCCCCTTTTTCCCCAAAAAAATTTCTTTCCCTCAAGATATGGTCATAATCTCAATTCAAATTTCCAATGGAGTTTGCAACCATAATTACCCATTTAAATTTACCATAGTGCTAACTTAATCTATTTTATAAGAGAATTTAAAACATGGTGTCAAATCTTTCATATGGATTTTTTTGTAAAAAAAAAAAGATGCAACATTTGCAGATATTTTTACTGGTCTTCCATTATAATTATGCATTTCTTTAAACATGATTTAAAAGCAGTGTAAGGGAGGTAATCAAAACGTTGTATTTGGATTACCGCCCTTACACTGCTTTTAAATTGTCTTAATTGTTCATTAACGATTACTTTATACATAATTTAAAAGCAGTGTAAGGGAGGTAATTCAAATGATGTATTTGAATTACCTCCAGTAAATTTGCCTAAACTTCAATCTATTACTGTGAATTTATTATTATATATGGGATACTAATTTTCTTGAAATCTGTATAAGTGAACCACAAATTTAATTGTCAAAGGTCAAATTTTCTATAGACTCAATATACAAGAAACTGTAAACAATACATCAAATAAACTATAAAGAATGATTCTTACAAACACTTACCAGGTTTATACATGTGAGAGCCTGCTGACTGGAATGGATCTGAAATAAAAAAAAAATCTAATAAATAATGGTATTAAGAAAAAAAAATATACAAAAAAATGTAATTTATATATTGGATCCTAATTGCACAATGACCAAAAATGAATGTTCTATTCAAAACTATATTGCTTATCACCAAAAGGACCATCATACTTAAGTTTAATAATTGTATCTCTATGACAAGTCCACATATATATAAATATCAAATGAACATTTTATGAGAAGACTATGAACATTTATTGCATTAGGGGAAAGTATATGCAATATCCTTTTCAATAAAAGACATTTGTTTGTCTAATGAAAGAGATACGTCTTGTTGAGGGGTATATTTAATGCAAACGCAGTGTCTTCCAAAATATGGGAATGTAGGAGGTAATAAGGTGTTATTAAGTTAATTTCTTGCATCATAATTTTAAATAAAATGCTCACAGGGCGCAGCTTGATACGACCGCAGACGTCGAACCCTGAACAGTTGGGGCAAGTATAAACACAACATTCAAGCTTGATACAGCTCTGAATTTGGATTGTGATTAAATATTTGACACAGCATAGGTTTCTGACTCAGAATGAATGTGGTCTAAGAACTTAAAAATTTTAAATTGGACATTCACCTATTATGGTCCAATATCCAAAATCTAAATACATGGTTAGGTTCAGCATATCAAAGAACCCCAAGAATTCAATTTTTGATGTTATCAAACAAAGTTTAATTTTGGACCCTTTTGACCTCAATGTGGAAAAAGTTGATAATGGGGCCCAAAAATCAAAAATCTAAATACATGGTTAGATTCAGCATATCAAAGAACCCCATATATTCACTTTTTGTTGAAATCAACAAAGTTTAATTTTGTACCCCGATTTGGAACAACTTGAAAACTGGGCCCATAATCAAAAAAACTAAATACATGTTTAGATTCAGCATATCAAAGAACCATAAGAATTCAATTTTTGTTAAAATCAAACTAAGTTTAATTTTGGACCCTTTGGACCTTAATGTAGACCAATTTGAAAACGGAACCAAAAATTAAGAATCTAAATACACGGTTAGATTCGGCATATCAAAGAACCCCAATAATTAAATTTTTGATGAAATCAAACAAAGTTTAATTTTGGACCCTTTGGACCTCAATTTGGACCAATTTAAAAACGGAGCCCAAAATCCAAAAACTTAATACATGGTTAGATTCAGCATATTAAAGAACCCCAAGAATTCAAGAATAAAACCCCATTGAAATTGGTCAAGAAATAAGCAATTTATACGAAGTATCTTCTTTAGCACAATACTGTGCAATTGAATATTTCTTGCTATTGCGCAATACTGTACAATTGAAAATTTCTTGCTATTGTGCAATACTGTACAATTGAAAATTTCTTGCTATTGCACACTACTTATTATATAATAATTTACACATCCTGTTTGGTGTGTATCTCCTACCATATCATTATTATTTGCTTTTAAATATAAATCAGAAATAACCAACTTAAAATGGAAAATTTTAAAAGAAAAAAAAAAGGTAAAAAAAAAAATCCCCCCCTCAAATTTTTTGAACCCCCTTATGATTTATCACCCCCAAACTCAATCCCAGCCTTCCCCATGTGGTATGGTACCTTGCAGTACAAT